ACACCTTATGTCATATCGGACGAAATCATGGGAATTTGATGTAGTAGAATTGAAAACAAATAGATGTCTAAAGAGTGTTAATCAATTTTTATTAGATAATAATAATATTGATATTTTCTTTAGTCCAAAGACTCTAATAGGAAATTTTATAATATTTACCTATAGTGCTTAGTCGTTATTTGTTATGTGTATTTGTGTGCTCTAATGGTTCACTAAACTGTACTTTTTTTGAAGATATAAAATCTGTTATTTATGCAGTATAAATAAAGATCCGTTATTATTATCTATAGGTACATATATATAAAAGACAAAATATGTCTGTGTGTCCAGAAGGTTCACCTACTTCTAGATGAGCTAGAAACATGAAATTTGGCACAATTATCGCGCTTCGTAATCTCATCGAAGAAAAATTATCATGTTGCCACGACTCCTATATGTTTCTTCCTGGAACGTCACAACAGGAGCGTGACCTGGGGGCGTAGGTGAGGTTCAGGTAGAGAGAGACTCGCTTGGTATAGGTTCAATAATAAGATATGTATTGATAAAATAGAATATTACCCATGAATAATAGCATGTATTTTCTACGGAGTGACTCTACTTAGGCCACTCTGTAGACTGTACACTCTGTACACTTTTTTTTTTTTTTTTTTTTTTTTTTTACGGATATGCGCACTCGCAAGGACAATGTCCTATCACGCTCGAGAAGCGGCAAGTGCGCGGAAATGTCGGTGTATGTTGGTCTTGAAACGGTTCAGGTTGTAACCTGCAGGGAAAACCGTCGCAGGGAGTTTATTCCACAGCGATGCTGTTCTCCAGAGATATGAATTCTGATATAGTGAGGTTCTTGGTGCCTCTAGTTTGACAGTAAATTCATGGTTACCGTCTGTTTGACGCGTTCGCCTTGGCGTGACTGAAGACTGAAGCTGGGTTTGAGACAGATCCAGAATGGCGTTTCCCAATTGAGGTACTTTACACTAGCCTTAGTCTTAGTATCCATACTTAATTAATGCAGACTCGTCGACATACATAAAATTGATGTAAAAAGTAGTATTTACTTAAGAAGTTGACATTATATGTCCCTCCTCTGAAAATCATTGGCCCCCAATGCTTAGAGAAGAGACATCAAAAATAAGAATAAAATATATATACTTTATTTTTTCCCAAGATAGATTTTGACATTGAAAACTTTGAAACATAAACAATACCGCTTGACCCTAATTGGTCGCAAAATGAGGTGTTTCTGCAGGTTGACATCAGTTTTACAATAGCGACCAATAAGCGGCATTAGTGGCATTGTTTACGTTTCAAAATTGACAATGCCAAAATCTATCTTGGAAAAAAATAAACCATAGATACCTAATAGAATTACGATACAATACAATAGAATACCATAATATAATACAAAAAGCAGAAGGAATAAGGAATAGGGGAAACTTATTACGATAAGCTCGTAGGTTCTATGCCCTTGTGCCACAAACGCTGTATATTGCTTTGAACTCTCCTCTACTGGAACTTGTCAATATCCAGAAAACTTGTCGAGGGTGCTGAACCATTTTGCGTTGCCTACGTATGACAAGATGTCGTCGATCTGCGGCAGTGGGTATGTTGATGCTGACTCGTCGACACACTTTAATAAAATCGATGTACAGAGTGGTATTTACTTAAGTACAGGGACGTAGCAACAGGACGTGCAAGGAGTGCCGCGCACAAGGGCCCGGGCCCCGTAGGGGCCCGGCGGGTCCTGCCACTTTTTGGACACCAGGAAATTAAAAATAATCATATCACCACCAAGGATGATACACACTGCTACTACAGGATCGCCTATCCTCATAAGGCCTGTGTCCTGTGTCTAACAAATCCCCCCCCCCTCCCAACGCGCCTAATCACCAGTTATGACGTAGGCAGCATGTTATTTATCGCTTTGACTTAGGCTGTTTAAACAGCTGACGACTTAGTTATGACGTCGGAAATGGTAACCCACCAATATGGCGGCGATTACCAAAAACTATTCCGATAGGCAATCCTGTAGGTGTGTATCTTCCTTGTAGTATCCACACATAACGCCCGCCCAAGCAATCATTTTTCGCTTTGGCGATTTCTAACCGAAACAGAAAACTGTAATATCGATTTCTACAGATTTCTTTTTAGTCAGCCCTCCGAGTCCCAGTACAAGGTTGTTTGAGAAAGGTAGGTTGCCTGATAACTTTTATGACGTCATCTGGGGTGCCTCAACATAATGCAAATCCTAGGTTCCTAAAGTTTCCAGGTTGTCTGGTAATGGGTACCTTGATGACGCCTCTAGGATGCCTTATAGAGATTTGCATTATATTTAGGCATACAGAGATCTGCAATATTAATGCTCGTTCAAACTGTACTGTTAAGTTATAACTTTTTCTTGTGATGTTGATACCGCTGAGTATCACCATATTTCTTTTTGTGCAATAGATCTATCAAATTTTTACTTATTCCAAATTGTATTATTTTTTTGTAAAATGATGAAGAATGATGAATTACGGACCCATTGTCCGTAAAATGCTTAATTTTTGGCCTACTCCCTGAAAGTCGTCATAACAATCATAAAAAAATTATACCTGGCACACCTGCCACAACAATGCCAATGCGTAATCAGTTTAAAATTTTTAATGTTGTCACATTCACTTCACGTGGTGAAGGGGGCCCGCTGTAGTCTTGCAAAAGGGCCCGGTTTTGACTTGCTACGACCCTGCTTAAGTAGTTGACAATATTGTGAAAATTCCACCCCTCAACCCCCTTAGAGAGGGATGAAGTGTTTATTTTTCGTTTTTCTCCAGTTTCATACTACAAAACCTCACTGTAAGGGTAGTGTTGGGTTAGTCTGAGCTTTTGAACAGAAAACGTATCATTGATTTTAAATTCTACCCCTCAATAGGGGTTAATAACTGTTATAGCTTTTAAGTATTCCTAAAACCACGCAATACCGAATTGATGACATAATAATTACCTATTTATAGTTTCTGAGGATAAAACGTTGTACATCACACGTGCGTTTAAACATGACTATCTACAAAACTCGTGTGATTAGAACGCTCGGTTTACGACCTCGTCGTTCTAATCTTCCACACTCGTGGTTGTAATTATGTTCATAAACGCACTTGTACAACCTTTCATCCTCAAAAACTATCCAAGGTACAAATGGGAGATTTTGTGGTACTATTTTTAAGACATTGGAGCAGGACAGTGAAATTAATAAAATAATGAATAATGGTTGCTGGTCATCAATGATGTTGAAATTATTGCCAATTGTAGTCCGTAAGAAATTAAAATTCGTTTTGAACTCAGAGCGCATTTTCTCTTCTGTTTAACCCTAGTTAAAAAGAGATAGAATGCTGTCGTATCATATAATCGAATCTGCCGATAAAATGGGATATAGGTTGGCACTTGGGTAATGCTACCAAATGTTTCCTTCTGCAAATCTTCGGTTATTCAATTTAATAAATTGAGGTTTGTTGTCGTAGTATTTAAGTCTATGGTATTAGTGATATTTTTATCAATTTATTAATGAAAATGTAACCTGGGAAAATGATGAACTTTACTAGTCAAAGTAAAACGATGTTGATGCGGCAACATTGCCACTTGCTAAGGTCATAAATTTTGATGCCTCACATTCATTTTTATTAATTTCCCTACCTATACTAAAAATTCGAAGCAATTGAACAAAGAACGACAAAGTTACAAGTCTTTCGAAAAAATACGTTATTTTTGTATGACAAACTTGTATAGAATGTGTAATTCTTCAAAAACTATTTAAGATACAAATATGAAATTTTTTGGTACTACTACATATTTTAAAGACATTGGTGCTGGACATATTGAAAATTCAAGGCAATTGAACAAAGAACGACTAAGATTTTTAGAAAAATACATGATTTTTGAAAAATGAAATATGACAATCTTGCACATTGGGTAATTCCTCAAAAACTATTCAAGGTACAAATGGGAGATTTTGTTTGATTTGTACTATTTTTAAGACATTGGAGCAAAACATATTAAAAATTCAACTTGTTCAACACATCATAAAACACATTTCGCACTCGTTTGATTTGCTGCACTTTTAACTTTTTTCCAATTTTCCAAGACTTTGTGTATATGTACTTTGATTGGTTGATTTTCACAAAATCTCCTTTATGGTATTATTGAAAAAACGACACATCAGAATTGGATCTTTGGCATTACCATTCTTTCTTCGATTATCCAGGATTATCTAGGATTTTAGATTATTTGTATTTTTATTTTATTTTATTCATAAATCATGGCTGTACATACCTACCTTCTTTTGGTGGTTGTTCTTACCAAAGGATTTGGAAAATTATTGAGATAAACTAGTCACGTTTCATAATTAAATTATTTAATTTTTAAGTTTTTCCTCTTTTCATCCCATCTTTTAAATGATCTTTTAATTTAATTTTTCAAGTATTCTAGTCTGAAAGAAGGCATAGAAAACCACTACCAGAAATGTAGGGAAAGGGAAAAATTGAAATTTATTTGAGAACATAATCGTCGATGTCTTGTTATTTTTGTCTAGCTAGCTTTATCACGTGTATTTTGTATTCTTTATTATATTTTATTCAACATTTTTCTAAATAATGAGGAGGTCATATTATTGATAAGATTTAAAATATATAAAGTAGGTACCTTAGGTATCTAGTCTATGATTCACTACACTTTTTTTTTATTTGTGGACATATTTTAAATGAAACAAAGACTGAGTTTAAAAGGATTTGTTGGATAAAACTTGGTATGAGTATAACTCCTATACTTTATACTTGTATAATAAATATCATTTTATTTATTCAATTTTACAACTCATGCTGGCTCAAATCAATTTTTGAAAAATTATTATTAACCCAATAATTTTTTCGTCCACTAACTTTTTTCTCTCCAAAAATAAATTATTTTCAGTCTATTTTTTGTTAGACTATCAATTTTCAAATACCAGAGGAAGAGTAAAACAACAATCTTTTTTCTCAAATTTTCTATTAACAAATACTTGCTATAAAAAGGCACTAATAATAATAATAATAATCACACTAAATAAGTTGGTGCACATAAAATAAGGTAGGTATACAAGTATTTATAAGTTAAAAATCGTGAATATATTTTTTTTTTAATAAGAATTTATAAAAACCTTACACATAAATTAAATCTAGATCAGTCATGCCCTAATATTAGAATACAGTCTTTTATGGTGACGATCATAAGTCTAATGATGATGATTTAAAATGATTATTGCAATTAATTAAAACTAAAATTTATCGATTCAAGCTTCTCAAGTAATGCATACTACATGAACAATTGCTAGTATACGATCTGGGTATTCTTTGGGTAGGCAATCCACTTAGTCCTTTCACGTAAGTGTAAGTTGTTGGGTGTCTCAAAATACTTTTGGGCACTTTCTTTTCCTTCTTCTTTTTAATATCTTTGGTGTTGGTGCAACTTTGCGAACGATGGTACAGATTCAAGTTTTGGAACACTTTCCTCAAACTCTCTGCCGAAGTTGAATGATGATGCCGGGAACGTAGAGTTTGGAAATCACTGCCAAAATCGCTAGAACTGCTCGATATTTCATTTGGTGATATGGAGCGTTCCTTTTGGCTTCTGGACGAATGACCAACGTTACTGTTGGCGGAACCATAACTATCAGAACTCGAATTGCCGCTCTCTTCTCCAGCACTATTTAAATCATCTTGAGATCTTTTAGCTAATTTTCTACTAATCACTCTGAACAACCGGATGCCTTTTATTTCACTTTTCGGAGACGGCGTCAAAGACCGTTGCGAGTTGTCGGTTAAAATCAACATTTTGGAGCGTGTTTTTTTTTTTTGTTAGACGAGACGCGTTGTTCAACTTAACAGCTTCAAGCGCTAGCTGAATCAGCTTCGTATCGTAACTGAACGCTGGGGAGCGATTCCAGTTGTATTTATAAGCGCGGCCGAGTTTGGAAAGTTGGACGGCGCGCATGGAATTCCGGTTTCACGTGATTTATGGTATATACGACGCAGTTCTATGATGATGATTATGTGACATTTGTAATTTTGATGCAATTATGAGGATGAAAGGGAAATTAAATTTAATACAAATATTGTATTTGATTATATTGTTTGTGTGGATTTCTCTTAATTATCGTAGAGAGCCTATTACAGTCTTGGGGAATTCTACTCAGACTAATCTTTTAATCTTTTACTGTGATCTTTAAACTGTGATTCTAAAACTGTGATATTTTCAATTTTTCAATTACTAAATTATTTATTTTTAATAGGCTTTAACTGATTCATGTAGTATTTGACTTTATTTATAGTGATGATTGTTTTTTAGAAATTTTGCTACCATCCCGCGCTGACTCGTCGGTTCTGTGTTGGATTTGCTTAGGTATCTGGACGCTATCAAATCTAGCCCATGATAATGTTCTTTTATTTATGTATTGTAAACTGTTCAGGTGTTGTTGATTGTATATAGAATTCTCACTGTTATTTTATTGCTTGTCTTTCTAGTTTTTTGTCTTATTTTTACTCTTAACACTGACATCTAAATTTTAACTTAGTATACATTTTTAGGATATAGGAAATTAATTTTAGACTTTTTTTTTTGCTTTGTCAATGGAATTTGCATAATTTTTTGGACAATAAAGCTTTTTTGATTTGATTTGATTTGATTTGAGGATTGTGGAGTACATTAAAGTATACCTACCCATTGTTAACAACTTTATTTCTTTTGTTATAGGTAGAATATAGGTTTTAGAAGAATTATATACAATTTAATTAGGACTTATTTGGTGGGAAGAAAACAATATGTTCGGCTCGGCGGTGTTGACAGTGAGATCCTCTCAAGTGAGTATGGGGTCCCGCAAGGTTCCGTCCTGGGCCCTTCATTATACACACTGTACTCAACTTGGGGTGTGCAAACCTCGGTCCTCGTTACTTTACATTCGCTGACTACCTACACTGTTCTGGGACTCTATTCTCGAAACAGGGGAGCAGCGTTCTCATGAGAACAAAGGTTCTGTCTTCATCGTCCGTATTCATACTTCCATAACACTGACAATGACAGAGCAATTGTTCTCATGAGAATGCTGTTCCTCGGGTTCAAGAATAAAGTCCCTGGTGTACGCTGGTGACGAAGAGAGGACATTGTGTTTCACTGTGAACACTGGAATCTATATCTCGACTCTCGGCTGGTTCTACAGGGTGATCTATTATAAATGTCACCCCCTGCTAAATTTTTCATTTGACGTTTCTGACAGAAGTGTCAAATACAAAAGATTCAAGAAATTGTCAAAAGTTCTTAACTAAGTCAGTTTAAGACATACAGGGTGCGTCAAAAAGGTACAGCAGTGTGAAGTTATATTTTTTTAAATGGAACACCCTGTATATTGTGCGCTTATTTGCTAGTCCCGTTTAACTTAATTTCAACGTTATATGGTTTGATATGTTTATCTCTCGGTTTATCTCCAATAGTAATAGGGAAAAAACGCGAAAATCCCTTCCTAGGCTCTCATGTTATTTTTTAAAAAATACTTGTAACTTAGACATCTGGATTTATTATATCTAATATTTCACCGTTTATAATAATGAATAAAATTTGAACAATAAACTGTTTATAAAAAAAATCTCTAAAGCAGGGGCGGATGGGCCGACAGGGATTTTGGGAAGTTTCCCGAAGGGCCGCTTGCTTCCGGGCCGGTCCAACGTCCAACCGGCCCGGAAGCATACAGGGTGTTTCACGAACATCGAAACAGAGACAATTTAGGGTATTTTAAGATCGATTTAAAAGAAACGCTCAGACACGTCATTTTTATATCCAAGGGGAAAACTTTTTGACCCCATCGGTATTTTGCTAAGGTGCACCCCACTTCTTTAGATAGGGAAGATGGGGCAAGCTAGTGGTGCTTTGTTTTAAAGGTATTTTGATTCTCGTCACAACTGCGTAGTTTTTTTGAAAGTCAAATGATTAGTTCTCAAGATAATCACTGTCAAAGTTGCCATAGGATAAATAAGAAACAATCTTCTGGCCCTGTTATTCTCGAATTACCACTTTTCTGACTTTCCTCTCAAACATGTCAATTTCCATTTTTTGTGTGCTCATTGTAGCACCCTGAAGTTTTCATATCAGGTCCACTTCCTTATTGGTAAAACCTAGGATGTCCCTGATATTCGCTTTCGCGATTTCCTTTGGTTTCGGATACTGTGTCCCAAAGTGCCGCTGTCTTTTCCATTTAAGGTTAGGACATTGGCATAGTTCATGTAGAGGTGTTTCATCTTCCTCTGCACATCTTTCGCACAGTTAGCTTCATTGTTTTTAGGTGTTTTCTGACAGGGCAGTGATTTGTCAACAATCCAAACACATCTCTCAATTATTGTTTCCTGCTTAAGCTAAGCTGGTTCTTCTGTTCTGCTTTTAGATGGTCCTTATAAAGAGTTTGAACTGCCTTAGTCCAGGAAGTTCCATCCAGAGTTTTTTGTGTTACCCCTATGAAATAATTCCAAAAAAAATTGGGACTTATAGGTTTTGAAGCTGCGTGGCCTTGAACCTAAGACAAAAATTAGCTGCGGAGCGATCCATTCACAGCTGTAATATTCCGAGAAAATAGACCCATAAATCACAATGTCTTTACTGTAAAAATTTAATAAATGTCAAATAATCAAAAACAGAATTTCCGGTATCTCCAAATCAGTATCAATAAATTGAAAAGGGAACAAATTAACGTTTAATATTATATTAGGTGTTTCGTCATCAAGCCTGTGTCATCTCCTAAATCAATGAACTTAAAAGAGCGAGGCCAAGTAATTATAAATGATTTATGGCATTCTTGAACCAAAAAAAAAAAGATATATTGACCTCGATAAATTAGGATATTGCGACATAATTATTCGATTCTTTTAAACTAAGAATGATAAAAATTTCAAGGAAATTTCATCATTATTTTTAATAATATTTAGGTCGGCCAATGGAATTCGGATTGCTAGGCAAACGACCGCCTATTGACGATTTGGGGGATAATTAATAATACTTTGCGGGGGGATCGATTTAATATAAATACCGCGGTTTTAGAAGTAGTTGTTAGTTGTTAATTGTCAGTTGGGAGATGAGTTCGCAGTCCTGTCCAGTTTGAGTTAAAATCTACAGTACCTAAAGTGTCAGTCCGGAAAGTTTTTTGTATTGCCTCGGTAACAGTCTTTGAAAAAGTAGCGGAAAAATTTTAGAAGGAAGAACAATTTAATTCGTCAACATTTATGCGTGCTAGCTAAAAAAAAAATTGAGTAATTAAGTAATTTTACGTGTGCAAAGTAAAATGTAAGTATCGGGTCTTCAAAAAGAAAACCAATCAAAGATTGCTATGGTTTTTTAAACGTATGTCTTAGCAATATTTGTCTTTAATTTTGTCAATGAAATTTAATGTCAAAATGTCTTGTCAAAAATCCTGACGAATAAAGAAACAGTAATGCGACGTACGTTTTCGTAGTCAAAGCAATCTTCGATTGGTTTTTTTTTGAAGACCCGATACTTTAGTGTTTAATAATTTTCTGACTTTTATCAATGATTCTGAATGATAAGAAGTGAATTAACAATGACTTTTAATGCCTAAAAACTTGAATGATTTTTACTAGAAAAACTTTTGACTTTATAATTAACTGTGGAACTTTATTGCATAAATATCAATAACTCGAGTGTTTTGAATTGCATAACTTTAATTGCCTTCAGATATAATGACATTCTAATTTAATTTTGCACCAAAAATATGAAGGAAATTTATAATGCACTTACCAATATACAATTTTGACTATTTTGAGTAGGGATTATGCATTAAACAGTTGGGTTTATTAGCTAGGCATAGGAATCCGAAAATAGAATTTGTTCTGATTAAATAAACTATTGAATAGAATAGGAAATTTTGAAAAGAAACTTGATGTTCATGAAATAGAATTGTCTTAAAATATTGGAAAATTGTCAAGTAGAAATTATTGTAAGGTTTTATAAGAATAAGTTAGTAATACCTATATTGATAAACAAATAGGTAATTATTTTGGGTTTTCTTAAGCAGTCAGTAAAGGACTTAGAAAATTTAAAGAATTTAGAGAAATAGGTGAAGGGTAGTTAATAGGAATGAATCGGAAGTATTGAAATGAGTTAAATCATAAGTTATGAGGAATAGTAGGAATAGGGCGTTTCTTTATTAGTAGGCATATTTCAGTGGTCCGTAATAATAACAATTTTAGAACGGATGTGAAGTAATTGATTTTATAGAAATAAATGAGGCTGTCAGAATTGGAAGATATTTGGCTGATTAAAATTTTTTGGGTTTTATGTATAATAAAATATAATTTAGTACACCTCAATAGTTTGTTTCTCTCTCTTGCAAATAGACCCTTCCACAGAATTTAAGTAGCAGCTCCAAGTAAATAAACACCAACAATATACCGCTCGCCATTTAGCATCTAACTAATTACATAGAGTACTTGGGGCGCTTTGCTACAACAGCCTTCAAAATCCAATACTGATCTGGCAGTCCGGGCCGGTGCCCGGGCCGGTTTTATGTTCCCCATCCGCCCCTGCTCTAAAGCCGAAAAGGTATAATTTTTCTTTTTTCAATGTGAAACCTTGAAAGGGGTTTTCATGTTTTCGCTATAAATATCGAAGATAGACATATCAAATCATATATTGTTGAAATCAGGTTAAAAGGAACTAACAAATAAGTGCACAATATACAGGGTGTTCTATTTAAAAAAATATAACTTCACACTGCTGCACTTTTTTGACGCACCCTGTATGCCTGAAATCAACGTAGTTGAAAACTTTCGATAATTTATTGAAACTTTTGCATTTGACACTTTTGTCAAAAATGTCAAATGAAAAAGTTAGAAGGGGGTGACATTTATAATAGATCACCCTGTACC